ACGTTTAATATGCGAGTGGGAACAGAGGCGCCCCCAGGGAACGCTGTCAGCTCTTTGATGTGTTCCACACCCCTAGAGGAAAGTGAAAATCCCTTGGACACGGTACAAGAGGTCTCTGGCCCAAATTCATGCTGCTCCCAGATGCAATGCTGCAATACACCAGGTGTCTACATGGAAACACAGGTCTGGGTGGGTTTGGGAGCTTTCCAGCTTCTTCTCTTCCAAACCCAACCCCTCTTGCCTAGCCCAGTTACTCAAATGCACCCCCTTGCTCTGGAGTGTAAACCCAAAATTATACCATCTTGCACTGCACAGAGAACTGTACAGAGAACCTGTACAGTGTACGCTCATGAAATTCACCCCCCCCTCAATGCGGAGCGGAATATACAACAGCTTTCTGCCCCAAGTATGATTTCCACATTGGTTTTACATGAAACAAAAACAAGTTTATTAACTACAAAAGATAGGTTTAAGTGATTATAAGTGATAGCAAACAGATCAAAGCAAATAACCTTAGTAAATAAACAAAACTGCAAACTGAAATTACCACACTAGATAGGTAGCATATGAATTAACAAATCCTCACCTCCCCCATCCCCATATGGTCCTGTACTGCCACTCAGCCATCCCCCTCCCCTGTGCCCATGTGTCCCAGCACCCCCACTCCCATTCAGCCCCTTCCCCAGTCTGCCCCTGCAACTAGCCCATCTGAACAGCCCATCTGGCAGCTGGTATCTAGCGGAGTGCCCCAGGGATCAGTCCTGGGGTGGTTTTGTTCAACATCTTCATTAATGATCTGGATGATGGGATGAATTGCACCCTCAGCAAGTTCAAAATGACACTAAAATGGGGGGAAAGGTAGATATGCTGGAGGTCCAGAGTGACCTAGGCAAATTAGAGGATTGGGCCAAAAGAAATCTGATGAGGTTCAACAAGGACAAGTGCAGAGTCCTGCACTTAGGACGGAAGAATTCCATGCACCGCTACAGACTAGGGACTAACTGGCTAAGCAGCAGTTCTGCAGAAAAGGACCTGGGGATTACAGTGGACGAGAAGCTGGATATGAGTCAGCAGTGTGCCCTTGTTGCCAAGAAGGCCAATGGCATTTTGGGCTGTATTAGTAGGAGCATTGCCAGCAGATCGAGGAAAGTGATTGTCCTCCTCTGTTCGGCACTGGTGAGGCCACACCTGGAGTACTGTGTCCAGTTTTGGGCCCCACACTACAAGAAGGATGTGGATAAATTGGAGAGAGTCCAGCGAAGGGCAACAAAAATGATTATGGGGCTGGGGCACATGACTTATGAGGAGAGGCTGAGGGAACTGGGATTGTTTAGTCTGCAGATGAGAAGAATGAGGGGGGATTTGATAGCTGCTTTCAACTACCTGAAAGGGGGTTCCAAAGAGGATGGTTCTAGACTATTTTCAGTGGTGGCAGATGACAGAACGAGGAGTAATGGTCTCAAGTTGCAGTGGGGGAGGTTTAGGTTGGATATTAGGAAAAACTTTTTCACTAGGAGGGTGGTGAAACACTGGAATGCGTTACCTAGGGAGGTGGTGGAATCTCCTTCCTTAGAGGTTTTTAAGGCCTGGCTTGACAAAGCCCTGGCTGGGATGATTTAATTGGGGATTGGTCCTGCTTTGATCAGGGGGTTGGACTAGATGACCTCCTGAGGTCCCTTCCAACCCTGATATTCTATGATTCTATGAACCCCAGTCTGTGACACCCCGCCCCCCACCCCCAGCAGCCCCATGTGCCCCCAGATCCCATGCCTCCAGACCTGGCCCCACGGGCAGCATACTGAGCAGAAGGCAGCTTCTTTCTATTCCACATCCACAGCTGAGGCTGCTCCCGTCCCCTGAGGCTGCTCCCGTCCCAGACAGCTGCTCTATTCTGGTGCCACAGTGCCCCCTGGTGGGCAAAAGGCATAACTGTAGCACCTTTCTGGAGGAAAAAAAACTCTGCACGGCCCATGAATTCTGCGTGTGTGCACTGATGCAGAGTCCAAATACCCAGTAAGCCGGGTCTGGATGAGCTTGCCTCTGACACATCGTGATAAGATGGAGGAAGGACTTCAGGAGCAGCCCATGTTTGGGGAGACACGCCTACGCCACCTAGGTGCATAGCAGGTGGTGCTGGTTTGCCAGCCTGATCCGTTTGGGCTGGTTTTGTGTGATAATCACTCTGATATCGCGCGCCGGGGTAATGCAGTGTTGGGCTCCTTACCGTACAGTGATGGGACTGGCTCTCCCTGGCGCCCCCACATGCCACCCGCTAGTGAATTATTCTGCATGCAACTGAGCCCTGTGGGACAAAGTGGGAATTTTCTGTAACATTTGATGATGCGTGTGTGTGCCTCAGTTTCCCCTATATTTCACAGGTTACGTGGTGGGGGAGGGAGAGAGGACTGTTTTCTCTCAGGGCAGACTAAGAGACATGGCTATGAATGTTGCCTGGTTGTCTGAGCTGGGGTGCACCATTGAAAAGGACTGGCCCAGCTGACCCCATATCAATGGAGAACCCAAGAAGACAATGGCAAAGCCAATCACCGGGACATTGACCTCTGGCACCCAAGGTGCGGGGTGGGAAGGGGTTTCCCCACCTCTCTGCAAGGAGGCTGAGCAAAGACCCCCCAGCTCGAGAACAAAGGACTGTGAGGAGTGAGGTGAGGGGGTAGGTGTTGGCTGCTGGAAGAAGCCTGGGGTCACCTGGGAACTGTCCAAGGAGGTCAGATGGACAGAGCTGGAACAATGGGGCTCTTACAGCTGGGCTCTGGGCTCCGGGCTGATCCCACCGGTCGGGGCTTTAACCCGCGTTTCCCTGGGCCACCCTGAGCACATCCCGTGCTGTGAGCAGCTAGCTAACAACCCGGCTGTGCCCGCGCGGAGAGTGTCCCTGCGAACGCCGGGCGAGGGGCACTAGCCCCTGCTGTGTGGCCGGGTCTCCCCAGGGGTCTGGCCCAGTTGGACTCGCTGGGCAGAGCTGAGGGTGTGGGGCAGGAGGGCTGGAGCCCCCGGGGTTCAGCTGAGGAGGCCAAGAGGCCGCGTGGCTGCCCATGAGCCGGGAGAGAGGCCCTGGGGGTCTGGCCCACTGAGGGGTTCCTCTCAGACCGTTCCCTAGCCGGGGCCTAGCACTGATCCCGGGGCTCCGTGACAGCCTGTCAAACTCTATGGCCCCCCTGTGCCCTCTGTCAGCTGGCACCAGGAGTTTCCTGGGTCACACACCTCAGCACTCTTCCATCTCCCTGCACCCCAACCTCCTCCTGTCCCCTCACAGGGCCCTGCCCAGCCCCCAAGCCATGGAGCACAGCCTTCTTCCCTGCGGGCCGCCTGGTGCCATCCTTGTTGAAAACACTGGAAGCGGGCAGCAGCCATCTTTACTCTGGGCAGCTTCTCTTCCACAGGCAGGGACTGTCCTTAAATGAGCCCTTGGGAGCTGGCTTCAGCCCCATTTGGAGCCTTGGAAGAGGGCTGCCAATTTGAAAAAGGGAAAATTTGGTGAGTTTGCTGCCTATCACCGTAGCAATGAGCACGGGTGTGCAGGGCCCTCCTTCATCCCAAGATGTGGAGGGGGGGTAAGGCCTTGGCCCGTCCCTGATCCTGTACTGCCCTTCCCACCCCCATGTCTATACACAGCCCCTCCGCTAGACTGCCTCAACTCCCCTCAGATGCTGTCATGGATCCATGGGCCTGGTGCTCTCGCACGGCTCTGTCACGGCCCCTGGGAGGACCCCTTCAGTGAGTCGGCCCCCTGAGGGTCACACTCTGTCACTGGGGTCAGCCCCCCGGCTTCATCGCCTCCTGGGACTGATGCAGGTCACGCCATGAGCTCCCTGCAGTGAGTCCACCTGGATTGGACCCCACAGGGAGACTTGCATCCCCAAGGAATCAATACACACCTGGCTTCCAGACTCTGGAGTGACTCTCAGCCCCTGGGGTAGCAGCAGGGGGTTATTAGGTGTCTGGAACAAAGCATTGGGAGTCCTTAGTTAACATGGAGAATGGAAAGTTACAGCAAAGTCCTGCTGGGTCAGTCCAGAGCTCTCTCCCCACTGTGTATTCCCAGTCCAAGAGCATCTCCTGCCTCCAGCAGCCCACACTTAACAACCCCACCTGGCCCCTCCCCAGTTCTTTGTCCTCCAGTTGGTCACACTGGGCTGACTTCCTAAGGCACATGGGTCATCCAGAGTTATTTGTTGCTAGGTGTCAAATATCCAGGCAATTAGAGTGGTCATTGGCACACCTGGGTCTCTGCAAAGAGTAAATCACCTCTTCCCCCACCTAGCTAACCATGCACCACCTAGGGGAAACTGAGGCACACACAATACTCATATCAAACATTGTGAAAGATTCCCACTTCATCATACATGCCAGATGCTGCTGTCCCAGACCCCTCACCCCCATCCCTGACACATACACCCAGCTTCCCCCAGCCTCAATGACCCCCTTCACTGTACCCCCTGCCTGCAGGGCCCAGTGACAGTGAGGGTCAGCACCCAGATAGCCGGGGATAGAGACTCAGCACAGAGGGCTGAGGGCACTGAGGGAGCTGCAGCCCATGCCCTGCGGGTCTTGAGGCCCTGGGAAGGGCAGGCTGGCCCGTAGACTGTGGCTCTTGGGGCAGGGGCTGTCGTTGTCACCCGTGAGTGCAGTGCCTGGCCCAACAGGGCTGAGCAGGGACTCTCACGTCTGCTTGAGACACAGACAGAGTGAAATAGGTCTAGCACCCCTGCATCTGACCCTCTGCCTGATCCTTCACCGATGGGGCTGTGTGGGGTCCCTGCGAAAAGTGAGAACTCACTGGTTGTCACAGCAGTTGTGGGATGTTTGCACTGGAAAACTGTAGGGTTACGTGACACACAAACCGGGCTCCACATCTCCGGGAGGTGAAACGTCACTCGGGGTGGGGTGGTCTCGGGCTGGCTCAGTCGACGCTGAGAACAGCAGAGATCTGTCGACCCAGCCCTGTGGTTACAGCCTGACCAGATGCAGGCGTGAGCAGTGCCAGAGAGAAACGGAGCCCAAGGAAGAACTTGGAATGGGCCCATTTGGACTGAGCTCAACTTGATGAAACTCCCTGCTCATGAAAAGAGACCAAAGCCTGGGTGATGCTGTTTACAACTGACTAGTTACAGTAACACAGGCACCATTGTTTCTAGGGGCATTAAATCTTGTACACAGTGTGTCGTGTATGGTATCAGTAGAACAGTTACAATCTGTCAAGTATGATTATCCTCGTTAAATCCATGTACCATCATTATACCGGCAGTTTTGCATATTGGTGATGTATCTGCATCTCAGACCTGTGTTGTAGGCCTGGGTGACACCCCCAGGTGGGTTGACACCAGGGCTAGCCAGCTGTGTGTTGCTGGCCCATTAAGGATACTCCACTCTCACCACGGCCGTTGAAGAAACTCATCCCACCCAGCAGGGCTTCCTCAGACAGCAAGGAGCCAACGGCCACCCCCTGTGATTCAGAAAAAGGTGGGGGCAAGTGATCTGCTCATGTGACCCTGGACTCCATCTTGGACAAGTAACCCTCCAGGCCCATTGCAGAGGATCGAAAGGACCCTGAGGCATCTGCACTGGGCACTCAGTGTAGCAAGGTGGGGTGTGTCAATTGCTGGCCTGCCGAGGGAAGCGCAGCCGGTAGCTTTGAGACAACATCCCACAGCGGGCACAGACAAGAGCCCTGACACTGCACAGGTGGTGGAGATTCACCCCGCACGTCTTGGCTAAACCGGAATGGGTCACATGCCTGCACCGCAGCTAAACAATCACACACTGGCCAACGGGAAGAGGCAACCGGGGAGCAGCTCCCAGCTCCTCTGCAGGGGCAGCAGTTTGCACAAGAACTGCAGGCTGACCAGGGCCTGCACTGGCCACAGGGGAGAAATGGGGCAGTGGGCACACCAGAATAAAACTGCCCTCCACAGCAGCATGCCCTGGGGAGGGCGGGTGAATGTGTATGTGTGTTCAAATGGCAATCTGCAAGAGTCGTGTGTGGCTGTGTCTTTCAGACTAGCCGGTGCCCTTGGGGTACAGGGTGCCTCTGGGAAGGCATGCTGGGCGGACATGGTAGCTGGGGCTGGCCCTGCCCGGCCTGCGGCCACAGAGGGCTGGTCTTGGGCACGGCCAGGAGACGAGGGTCGGAGAGCGGTGGTATAAAGGTCATTGGCTCTTGTGCTGTGTTGGTCTCAAATGAAGCTCTGGGGCATCAGGCCTTTTGCTGAATGTTTAATGGGCTTGCTGCGGCACACGGGCAGGCCAGCCTCGGCTCACCAGATGAACATGGGCTTGCCATCGTCCTTGGCCAGCTGGGCAAGGCACTCGAGCAGTATGAGGGTGTTGCTCCGGATGGGGTCGGGCACCGTCTCCGTCACCACCCTGCGCAGGAAGTCCACGTTGTTGTAGGAGCCGCTCTCTGAGGCGGCCAGCTCTGGCCGCTCCCGCAGAATGCCATAGGTGTTCACGATGTACTCGGTGAAACTGGGATGCATGCGGGCGTCGTACCCCACCGTCTTCAGGCGGTTCATGATTTCCAGGTAGCGCCGCGTCATCGCTGTGCACTGCTGCTCGTCCACCTGGTTGGAGACGGTGTTGGTGGAAGCCTGGAAAAAGAGGAGCGGTTTGAGGGGAGGGGTCGGGCACCCCGAGGTCCAGTTAACTGATCTCAGGGGGACAGAACAGAGGGGACCAGATTCAGCCCAACACAGTCAGCCTGCAGGACTCACTGCCACTATATGTCGGGGCATCCAAGCCCTTAGCAGGAGTCTGAAACGGGATGAGAGACAGTTACGTAGAGAGTCTGCTGGCCAGAGTCACTGCTAACCCCTAACTCAGAATTCAGACGGGCTAGGGTAGGAGCCAGGCCTCCTGTGACAGGCTCAGAGGAACTTCCCCTGAGGCAGCGAACCCCACAACCAATACTGCAGGGCTCCTGCACCTTCCTCTGAAGCCGTGGGTGCAGCTGCTGTCAGAGATGGGAGCCTGGTCGGCTGGGCTGGGGGGCTGGCTGGGCCAGGAGCTACCCCTCTGGGGAGCCGGGAGCCGGGGCTGGCTGGGCCAGGAGCTGCCCCGCAGGGGAGCCAGGAGCCTGGGTGGGGTGGGCTGGGCTCAGGGGCTAGCTGGGCCGGGGGCTGCCTCGCCACAGAGACAGGCGCTGGGGATGGCAGGGCTAGGGGGCTGCCTCGCTACAGCAGGGCTGTGTCCCTGGAGCATGTCCACAGGACGGGAAGGGCTAGTTTGAAGGGCCGTGCACATTTCAGCGGGAAGAGCCCTGTCAGCGCCCGTCCCGTCCATGCAGCCCCGGTCCTGGTCAGGCTCGTCCTGAGGGAGGGCGGCTCTGGCTGTGAACGCAGTGGCCGTGGCTTCCTGCCCCTTCTCTAGGAGACACTCTCCAGAGAATCTGTCCCCCTGCCAGACAGATCTGCCTGATGATTGGGAAACCTTCCCCGCGGCTTTGTCTGCCCAGGTGTGGCCCCGTCAGCAGTGTGGGTCGTACCCTGGCGCTGACTCCTTTGTGCAGCCATTCATGCCCAAGAAGCTAAGCAGCCCTTATCTGCGCGGGGCAGTCCTTGCTAGTCCCACCTCTCCCCACCTGCAGACTGTGGCAGGGTGAAGCTTTCTGTCCCAGGGGACTGGGCATGGGGCCAGGCACTTTGCCTCTAGGGCCCTGTTGAACCCCCGCTAACTCTGCTGTGACCCAAAGCCCTGACCCTCCAAGGGGCCCTGCGTGAGACAGGCTGGTGGATTCTCAGCCCCTTTTCTAGTGGCCAGGCATCCACCTGGCTGCACCCCGTCACGATCCATTGGGGAGTGCATAATGTGCTCCTCTCTGGGGCCTCCAAGCTGCCCCAGGCTGCCTGTCCCGCAGAGCAAGGGCTGGACGGCTCCCCTCAGGGCAGGGTGCTGTGGGGAGCTTACCCTGCCCTGCCAGGCTGCTCTGGGACTGAAGAGACGATCCAGCGTTCGCCAGCAGACTGGAAATGGCCCAGGGTAGGTAATGATCCCCTCCCCCTGGCAATTGGGGCACAGAAAAGGGGGGGCCCGTTGGCTTCAGCTCCAGCAGAAAGCACCTTGTTGTCCCTGCCCTTAGCCACCCCATGGCGTAGCCCTGCCCACAGGCCAGCTTTAGCAGAGTGCCTGCCACAGAGGGGGCGCGGCGGCCGCAGAGCCAGGCTTGCCCACCCCTCAGCGGCTCTCCTACCTGGATGATCTTCTCAGGGATGTTGTTGACGGTGAAGCCGTAGAGCCGCACGCGCTCGGGGAAGATGCTGGAGAGGATCCTGCGATCCAGCTGAAAGGCGATTTCTCCCACGATGCGCTCCCAGGTCAGCTGGCTGTGATCTGCAAGGCCCCAGGGAAGCCAGTCAGTGAGTCGCCCACTCTGGCCCCGGCCGCCCCAGCGTGGCAGCGATAGGAATCAGCTGGATGGTGACCCTCAGTGGCAGGCACGGCTCTGTGCAAACAAGCCAGGTTTCTATGGCAATGCCCCCTGGCTCCCTCCCCCTGTGTGCACGCTGAGCCCGCCCCAGCTGCGGCCGTGCAGTGACTTCCCCGTGGATGCTGCAGGCGGGCCAGCCCTCTGGGTAAAGTCCTTTCCTCTCACCTGCCCGCACAGTCTGTCTGTCAGCGGGACACGCCTGGCACCCGCCGTAACCCCCGTGGCTCCTGAGGAGAGCCCCGTTCGGGCTGACTGCCTCACTGCTGCCGGAGCCCCAAGCCTGGGGGCAGATGTGCCCCTCGTGCTGGCGTGGGCATGTCCACACCGGCATTCCCACGGGACGACAGCTCAAAGGAGCCGAGTCCAGCAGCAAAGGGACAGCGGGATTCCCGCTCCATTAGTTGTATTAGGAATACGTTAATTACCAACTGCAAATGGAAACCCAATACATTTTGTGGGTGCAGTTTGGCTAATACAAGTATGCAAGTAACAAAACAATCTTAATATTTCACCTAAGGGGTGTAACCCTCACTTCTTTTCTTACCACCTCCCACTTACAGGTGGTGGGGGGCGGGGTAGTAAGCAACCAGCCTTTGCTTTACCTTGTACGTGTACATTAGACGTAGCCTAATGGAACTACAAGGAAGCAGAATTCAATGTTTTACAGGTTTTTAATTTTAATATTATCCTGTCAGAACCAGAAGCAATTCACTTTGCCCACTTCCCCTTTCTCCCAAATGCTGAGAGATACTGAGCCATTCTCCCCGCAGGTCATTCAGAGCAACACGAGGGAATGCAAAACACACAGGCTTAGCCCAGCCTGGTGCCCTACACAGCTGCATATTTTGCGTATGGGTAAGGACGACCCTGGTGCTGCTCGATAGATCCCGACTGGGTAATAACCTCTTGATCAGCTAAGAGCACATTAGCCATTGAGGGAAGAGAGAGGGAGCAGACCTCTCCACCTCTCTGCTGTTTCTTGGGACTTGTTTAAGTAATTGTTGAATCCGGTTAAGGGGTTAATTATTTAGGGAAGGATGCCTCTATATATGTATGGTGTTACATGCTTATTTTGTAGTGTTAGAAATTAGATATTAGGCTAGCTAATAACATTTAATTGAGCTCATGTGAAGTAAGAGTTGGGGGTAAGTGGAGTAGAATCAACTGAGAATTCCGGTTGTAATCGACCAAAACATAGCATACATAGATGTTAAAGATCATGGAGAAGGTTTCATATGAATGCAACATAGCCAGGCTATTTTAATCACCCTAGTCAGTCGATCATATGATCATGTTTAATGTAACGTTTAATATGTGGTATGATGTAGTCAGGGAAAGTACAGAAAACTGTACATACAAGTATCAGAGACAGCTAAAGCCAGCCAAGTGCTCTCTGGCTGCCCTCATCTTAAAGAGGCTGCCTCAACGCCCCAGTCAGCACCTGTCTGAACTTGTTCTAGCTCTGGCTGTGAGCCGGTGCCCACAGGAGGCGTGGAGCTGGGTGATAGGGGGAAAGAGAGAATACTCTTTCCCTTTGTTCCCTTTGTGCATTAGCCACTTGGGCCTGAGGCGAAGCCAGTCAAACTCAAGGAGAGTCACAGCCAGAGGGAGCGGTTCCTGCTTGTAGGCTGTGGCTTTCCCGGGCCATGTGGGGGCTGCTGTATGCAGCCAGATCTCCTGGGTTTGTCAGGAGACTTGGTGAAAGCCCCAGCTCTGGGCACAGGGGTCGGGGAGAATCCTAGCTGCCCCTTTTCTTTGAAGTCACTTTCCAGCCCTCGTAGGTGCAGAGACAATCTGGAAAAGGTGTCCCACAGTGCAGACACCAGAGGGCAAAGAAACCGACCCTGGACTTTTCAAAGAGTCTCCTGAGTATAGGCCCAGACTCCTGCATTTGGAAGGGCTGGGCTGCCACCACACAGCCATGGGGGAAGGGCAGGTTTAGCAAGGACCATATGGACAAAAAGCCACCAAAACCAGCAGGATGGTGCAGGACCAGGCCCTGGTGTGACTCTGAAAGAGTCCAGGTTACAAATTGGTAGTGTCCCTTTAATACGGAAGGCAGCCAGAGGTGACAATGTGCCAGCATACAGTGGGCAGCCTTGCCATGTGGGCAGCCTGCATTGCATGATGGGACTAGTAGTCTGGTGGGCCCCGGACCCCATCTCCACTTGCAGTGGGCAGCACCACAATCTGTAGGCACCAGTCCCAGCAAAGTCACAGGACTCTTGGTTGGTAGGTGCAGCATCTGAGTGCAGTGGGGACTGGCCGGGGACCAGCTGGAGCCTGTGGGGCGGCCGGCCAGCTGGTGGCAGGGGTGCAGGAAAGTATTGGCTGGCATCCATGCGCATACTCTTGGAAGAGCACCGGGCTCTGGCCACGGCTCTGAGACACGGCACCGGGGCCGTTCTCAGCCGGAGCCCTGGGACGAAGGCAGAGATACCAGCCAGGCCGCCTCGTTCCCATTTGCCTGGTTCCCACGGAGCCACCCGTGGGTTCCCAGCCCGTGCCATGCCCTCCCGGGGCTCTTGGTGGAACCATGACTCGCAGGGGCTTACCATGCTGCTCGTTTCCAGCGGGCCGCACAGTAGCTGCCACTTACCTTTGCCCACGCTGGCCTTGGACGTGGCCCCCTGTGTCTGGGGCCTATCAGTGGCTCGGAAGACCTTGCGCGTCATCTCCTTGGGCCTGACGTCCGGCGGGCGCTGGGGGTCCACTGGGGTTGGGGGCAGATGGAAGCTGACGGGGGCGGCCCTGCTGGTTGGGGAGGAGGCACTCTGCGGGAGCAAGGGCATGTCGTCGGTGAAGACCGTGTCGCTGAGGTTGGAGTCCCATGGCGAGATGTTGTGGGGGACGCTGTCTGTGGAGGCTGCAGGGGACCAAGAGCCCGCGGTGAATGTCCCCACAGCACCAAGCCAGCCCCAGCCCTGACGGGGAGTGCGGGCCATGCAGCCAAAGCAAACCACCCCGGCGCTTGGCTGCCTTGCGCATGCTCGTCCTTCCATCCCGGGCACTGCTGCTATGGACACCTCCCCAGGCCCTGCCCCAGGGCCCTGCCCTGGCACCGGCCCCCCACCACCAGCACCAGCTCGGGGGTTGAGGTGGGATGGGTGCACCGAAAAGGCCTGGCCCAGCCCGCCTGCACTACAGCCCCAGCAGGACGACAGAGAAGAGGCCTGGAGCCGGGAGGTGCTGGGCCCCGCTGCGCCTGGGGCCTCCCTCTGACAGCTGGCACCTCAGTGCCACAGAGCCACTGGCAAAGCCAGGGCAGCTCAGAGAACAGCCACCGGCCACAAGGAGAGGGCTGGGGAGCCAGCACCAGGCCGGGGATGGGGGGAGAGGAGCGGGCTAAATCCAGCTGCTTGGCCAAGAGACAGCTCTGGTGAGAGGGGTATTCAGAACTGGGGTGGGGGTCACTGAGAGCGCAGGCCCAGTGTGGGGTATTCAAAGCCATAGGGTTGCCAGGTATCCAGTTTTCGGCTGGAATGTCTGGTCGAAGAGGGACCTGGCGGCTCCGGTCAGCCCACTGACTGGGCCGTTAAAAGTCTGGTCGGTGGCGCAGTAGGGCTAAGGCAGGCTCTCTGCCTGGCTTTTCGCAGCTCCTGGAAGCGGCTGGCATGTCCGTCTCCTAGGCACAGGGGCATCCATGGGGGCTCCGCATGCTGCCCTCGCCCCAAGTGCCAGCTCCGCAGCTCCCATTGGCCGGGAATCGCAGCCAATGGGAGCTGCGGGGGCGGCGCCTGCAGGCCGAGGCACCGCACACTGTGCAGAGCTGCCCAGCCGCGTCTCCACCTAGGGGCTGAGGAATGTCGCCACTTCCAGGGAGCCCCCTGAGGCAAGCGCTGCGCGGAGCCCACACCCCCCTCCACACCCCAACCCCCTGCCCTAACGTGGAGCCCCTTCCTTCACCCAAACTCCCTCCTGGAGCCTGCACCCCACACCCCCTCCCAACCATTGAACCAGCCCTGAGCCCCCTCCCACACCCTGAACTCCTCATTTCTGGCCCCACCCTGGAAACCACAGCCCCAGCCCAGAGCGCTCACCCCTTCCCACACCCCAACCCCCTGCCTCAGCCCGGAGACCCCTTCAACACGCAGAACCCGTCAGCTCCCCCCCCAGCCCGAAGGCCCTTCCTGCACCCCAAACCCCTCATCCTTGGCCCCACCCCAGAGTCTGCACCCCAACCCCCTGTCCAGAGCCCGTTCCCACAGCCTGAACCCCTAATTTCTGGCCTCACCCTGGAGCCCATACCCCTAGCTGGAGTCCTCACCCACTGCTGCATCCCAACCCCCTGCCCCAGCCCCGTGAAAATGAGCGAGTGAGCGAGGGTGGGGGAGAGCGAGCGACAGGGGGGGGGGATGGAGTGAGTGGGAGGTGGGACCTAGGAGAAGGGGCGGGGCCGAACAGGGGTGTTTGGGTTTGTGCACTTAGAAAGTTGGCAACCCTAGCCATGGGTGGGGGAGGGGGGGTCGCTGAGGGTGCAGACTCGTGGGGTATTCAGTGCCATGGGGGGGTCACTGAAAGTGTAGTCCCTGTGGGGGGTATTCAGAGACATGGTGTGGGGGGGGGGGCGTGTCACTGAGTGTGCAGGCCCAGTTGGGGTATTCAGAGCCATGGGGGGGGTCACTGAGGGTGCAGACTTGTCGGGTATTCAGAGCCATGGGGCGAGGAGGAATGGGGTGAGAGGAAGGGCCGTTCAGGGTGACTGTCAGGAGAAAGCTGCTGGGAGTGAAGAGGGTTGAGGTTGGGCTCTGTGTCCTGGGTTGGGTGGAACCCCCCGGACCCCTCCTCCCCTGGGCCCCCTGGGGGAAGTCAGCACTGACTGGACAGAGCCCCGAAGAGCCGCCCAGTGGCCAGGCCCTTAGGGGGTGGGGTCCGGCACGACGGGGGCTCCAAGGAACTGCACCAGCCCCACAGACACACGTATACCCCACACGAACACCCCCACAAACACACGTACCCCCACAAACCCCCCACCCTTACAAACATGTACCCTCCTCACACACCCCCCACAAACACACGTACCCCCACAAACCCCCCACCCTTACAAACATGTACCCTCCTCACACACCCCCCACAAACACACGTACCCCCACAAACCCCCCACCCTTACAAACATGTACCCTCCTCACACACACCCCCACAAACACACGTACCCCCACATACACATGTACCCTCACTAACTCTGCCACTAACACAGGTACCCCTACAAACACCCCCACAAACACACACAGAATCCTAGAAGATCAGGGTTGGAAGGGACCTCAGGAGGTATCTAGTCCAACCCCCTGCTCAAAGCAGGATCAATCCCCAATTAAATCATCCCAGCCAGGGCTTTGTCAAGCCTGACCTCAAAAACTTCTAAGGAAGGAGATTCCACCACCTCCCTAGGTAACCCATTCCAGTGTTTCACCACCCTCCTAGTGAAAAAGTTTTTCCTAATATCCAACCTAAACCTCCCCCACTGCAACTTGAGACCATTACTCCTCGTTCTGTCATCTGCTACCATTGAGAACAGTCTAGAGCCATCCTCTTTGGAACCCCCTTTCAGGTAGTTGAAAGCAGCTATCAAATCCCCCCTCATTCTTCTCTTCTGCAGGCTAAACAATCCCAGCTCCCTCAGCCTCTCCTCATAACTCATGTGTTCCAGTCCCCTCCTCATTTTTGTTGCCCTTCGCTGGACTCTCTCCAATTTATCCATATCCTTCTTGTAGTGTGGGGCCCAAAACTGGACACAGTACTCCAGATGAGGCCTCACCAATGTCGAATAGAGGGGAACAACCACGTCCCTCGATCTGCTGGCAATGCCCCCATTTATACAGCCCAAAATGCCATTGGCCTTCTTGGTAACAAGGGCACACTTCTGACTCATATCCAGCTTCTCGTCCACTGTCACCCCTAGGTCCTTTTCCGCAGAACTGCTGCCGAGCCATTCGGTCCCTAGTCTGTAGTGGTGCGTGGGATTCTTCCGTCCTAAGTGCAGGACTCTGCCCTTGTCCTTGTTGAACCTCATCAGATTTACCCCCCCACGAACACCCCCTCATACACACGTACACCCCCCCACAAACACCCTACATGCACATGTACCCCTCCACATGAACATATACACACAAACACCCCCACAGACACATGTACCCCTCATAAGTCACCCACAGACACATGTTCCCCCCCCCCAGGCACAGCGCTGTTACCTTTGAAGTTGACGCTGGAGGGCAGCCGGGTGTGCATGTACTTTTTGCTGGAGTCGGTGGAGCTCCGGTAGGAGGACTCGGGGGTTCGGGCCCTGGCCTCGGACATCTGGCCCTCGGAGATCTGGCTGGAGTGCTTTGACAGGGACGTCTTGCTGGCCCGGGAGGACGATCTGGAGCCTGAGCCAAACAGGTTGCTGGCTACCGGCCCCTCCTCTATGGTGTCGTCCCATAACAGGGAGTTGCTCTGGCGATAGATTGGGGACCCGGATGCGGGGCCTGCTGGGGTGGAGATGGGTCTCCTGCTGATGCCTGTCACCCCTGGGCACGTGATGGCCTAGCCTCGTTCCCACAGGGGCCTGGAGCCAGGCCGGGCGCACCTGCCCCTCAGCCTGTGAGTGGGTGGGTGCCAGGCTCCCTCCTCCGAGCAGGGCCCGTCCCTGCCTGCCGGACACCACCTCACCTCCTAGCGTACCCTGCCCTCCCAGGCTCCCTGTGTGCGGGATGCAAAAGGGTGCTGGGGGGGTACCCTGTGTTTTCTTCATAGCAGGTCCCCTTCACAGGGTTTGGGCAGAGACGAGGCCCCGTCCAGGCACCTGCAGCCCTCTGCCGCTCTTCAGTCAAAGCCGACCCTTTGGAGGCAGAGCTTTGCAGGGACAATCTAGCCAGCTGTGGGTTTGTACTAGCAGGACCTGGCGCCTGTGCTGGGACGGGGTCTCTGGGCTTGGTTGGTCTGGCGAGTGCCCTGGGCAGGGACCACATCTGAACAGCACTGCTGCCCAGGGAACAGGGGCTGCCCCAGGGCACAGCGCAGGGCTGCATACGGGCCGTATAGAGGAGGAATGCCCTCTGCCCAGAGAACGGGGACTGCCCCAGGGCACAGCGCAGGGCTGCATACGGGCCGTATAGAGGAGGAATGCCCTCTGCCCAGAGAACGGGGGGCTGCCCCAGGGCACAGCACAGGGCTGCATACAGGCTTTATAAAGGAGGAATGCCCTCTGCCCAGAGAACAGGGGCTGCCCCAGGGCACAGCGCAGGGCTGCACATGGGCCGTATAGAGGAGGAATGCCCTCTGCCCAGAGAACGGGGGGCTGCCCCAGGGCACAGCGCAGGGCTGCACATGGGCCGTATAGAGGAGGAATGCCCTCTGCCCAGAGAACAGGGGCTGCCCCAGGGCACAGCGCAGGGCTGCACATGGGCCGTATAGAGGAGGAATGCCCTCTGCCCAGAGAACAGGGGCTGCCCCAGGGCACAGCGCAGGGCTGCACATGGGCCGTATAGAGGAGGAATGCCCTCTGCCCAGAGAACGGGGGCTGCCCCAGGGCACAGCGCAGGGCTGCACATGGGCCGTATAGAGGAGGAATGCCCTCTGCCCAGAGAACGGGGGGCTGCCCCAGGGCACAGCACAGGGCTGCACATGGGCCGTATAGAGGAGGAATGCCCTCTGCCCAGAGAACGGGGGGCTGCCCCAGGGCACAGCGCAGGGCTGCACATGGGCCGTATAGAGGAGGAATGCCCTCTGCCCAGAGAACAGGGGCTGCCCCAGGGCACAGCACAGGGCTGCACACGGGCCATATAGAGGGAGGAATGCCCTCTGCCCAGAGAACGGGGGCTGCCCCAGGGCACAGCGCAGGGCTGCACATGGGCCGTATAGAGGAGGAATGCCCTCTGCCCAGAGAACAGGGGCTGCCCCAGGGCACAGCACAGGGCTGCATACAGGCTTTATAAAGGAGGAATGCCCTGTGCACAGCTCAGGGCCCAACCACCAGCAGGTCACTGGAGAAAATGGTGTCCCAGCTAGTGAGGAAGCATGTGGGGCCGCAAGTGCCCCTAGAGAGGACCTGGGTGCCCCACTTCAAAGCACACTGGGGTCTCCTCAGGACAGTCCAGCAAGCTCAGCTCCTGGGGCCATGCTGGAGAACCCCAGCTGCCTAGCCCCCGCCATGGTGCCGTCCCCAAGCCCCCCTGACCTGGGCTGAGGATACTACTTTGCCCTCGCTCGGTGGACCTGGTGGAGGTGAGCGAGGACAGCGGTGTATCGCTGCTCAGTGCCTGGTTCCGCAGGACGTTTTTCAGCTCCTGGTTCTCTTTGATCAAGTCCACCAGCTTCCTGAGCTCCTCATTCTCCGTGATCAGTGCCTGGATCTCCCTTCTCAGCTGCTCGTAGCAGCTGGTCACGGCCACCCCCGGAGGCAAGGAGCCTGCGCCTGCCAGTGACGCCATGGGGAAAGGGCGTTCAGCGGCTTAGGTGGGCTGGGAGCTGGCCATGCGCCCCCCTCTGGCCTCCACTGCTGGGACGGGTGGCTGCCCGGTGGTGATGACATGAGCCGGGCACCTGGCAGACATTGTGATGTAAGCTGCCGCTTCAACACCAGAGCCCAGGGGCTCCCTGGGCAGGTCCTGTGCTGACAGGGCGAGGGGGGAAGAGGGTGGCAGGGAGCTAGCGTGAGCCGGGAAGGGGGCTCCAGCCACAGGGCGTCTCCAGCCAGCCAGTAGGATCCTGGGGCACAGCGCACAGAGGTGCTGTCCTGCTCTGCCCCTTCCCTGGCTCCCCGCGCCCCCTCCTGCCCTGTGGTAAACAGGCACCTGCCACTTCCCGGCGCTCTCACCAGCATCTTCCAACCCAACCCTCCCTCTGGCTTTGCAGGGGGCAGCAGCGAATGGCCCAGCCAGGGCCCCCCAGCTGGCCTGGCCCCGGAACCTTTGGCCAGTTCCATGGAAGGCGTCACAAAGGGACGCGGGAGTCCCAGGCCCCGGCCGCACCCCCGGGCTCCTCTGCCCCCCAGAATGGAGCCACAGCAGGTGTAAGGGTGCGAGGCTGGCTGCTCTGCCCAGGCGCTGTGCCAGGGCACCATGTCTCACGGCCACAACCCGTGCCCCTGTGGCCCCTATGCCCACGGCACAGCGGGCCCCTGCAGCTGGGCCTGCAGGCAGCACACAGTCCTGTGGGAACGGGACCACAGCGTGTGCCTTGGTGGAGACAGCCATGCCCAGGGCCCCGAAGGGGCGTGCTGGGGCTGGGAGGGGGCCCAGACCAGCCCTCCGCCAGTGACAGGTACATGGGGCAGAGCTGGGGCGTTGGACACAGTGAGGCTGTACACAGAGGGGGAGCAGCGGGGACCTGGGCTCGGAAGGGCGGGAGGAACCTGGCCCAGGGACAAGACCAGGGCTCGCCGGACGTTAATGTTGGGCAAGCGCCGGGCCAGGCCAGGGCCAGGCTCCTTCCAGCAGCGTGGCCGGCCCAGCCAGCAGAGCTCCCGGGGCTAGGCCCCTTGGGTCGGGGGGGCGATGCAGCACGAGGTTGTTTCAGGGCCAGTCGTACCATTTGTTGTCAGGTACAAGGCAGCGCGGGGCAGGGAGCCTTCAGGCTCCAGGGCGAGGCCAGGGCTGCCGGGCTCCATGGAAGCACCGTACGGTCGGCCAGGTGCACTGGGGGCAGGGGGGCCTTCTTCTGAAGGCTGAGGAGCTGGGGCCTCCTGGAGGCTGAGCACTGCGGCCTGCCTCCCCGGCCCCTTCCCCACTAGCTCAGGGCAGCAGCAGGAAACGGGGCTGGGCACGGGCAGACGCAGGCCGGAGCTGGCGCTGCCCGCGGCTCGGTGCGGTCCTGGTTTGCAGCTAGGCCAGGCTCTGAGCCTGCCATCAGCCCGGGGCACAGCGCCTAGTGCAGGCAAGACCAACGTTTCCAGCCCTGGGTCTGTAAGCAGGCACCTCAATCCCTCTTTAGCCACCTGGACTTTGGAGGGGCCATTGAGCAAACAGCCACAGAGGCCAGGGAAACGGGCACCCCGGCCAGCCAGTCACCCCCGCAGCCCAGGAGGGAGGGGGATGACCCACCTTTGGGCAGGGAAGCAGAGCGCAGCCCCAGCTCCTGTGCAAAGGGGAGAGGTGGCGGAGTAGGGCTGCCCTTGGCAGAGACGCTGAGCTCTCCCCTGGGGCTGGCGAAGAGAAGGGAGCTGGAGCCAGAGACGGTTCCGCGGCAGCGTAGTTGGCTGATTGCGCTGGCTTGGCCAGGAGGGACCATCTCTTTGCTTTGCTTCTCTGCGCTGAGCTAAGGGTGGCCGGTGCTGGGCTCCAGCCGCGAACACCCCTGCGCGGTTTGGAAACGTGGCCATCTCTCGCTGCAAACACTGGCTGGGGGCGCTAAGCTCTGTGGGGCGTACACATCTCCACCAGGGTCTGGCGCTGCAATGTAGACACGATCTATGCCGCCAGGGGGCTCTCCCGGGCAGGTGGGGTTGGCGGAAGAATTCTGTGGGTTTCTCACACCCCTGAGAGACGCAGCTCTACCAATGTTAGTCCCTAGTGTAGACTGGGCCTGAGCAGACCTGTCCGAGCTCCCTTCTTCACACAGTCACCTGACACCGCCTGGCTTTTGTCCCCATTGCAGTGGCTGCTGGCCGGGGCTTCCCCGTCCTGGCGCATTCACATCTGGGCGCAGGCCCCTCCAGCATAGGCAGCGCCTCCGTTCAGTCTCTGCTAACGTCACCAGTCCCAACCCAGCCAGCACATGACACCCAGCCCCCTCGACACCCAGCTCCCCCTGGCTCCGGAGACGCCAGCCCCTTCACGCCCTGCAGGGAGCAGTACAGCGGGCGCGGGTGAATTCAGCGGGCGGGACACCAACCCCACACTCGCCACGGCGGCTCTGAATTTGGTTCATTCTGAATCAACATCTCCGTTATTTTCCATTGATGGGATGAAGTGGGAATTTGCTGTAATATTTTTATGAATCATGTGTGTGCCTCAGTTTCCCTCTGTACTTTGCGTTGCTGCCCACTGGAGGGGAAAGGGTTTGGTCTGCTCTGGGGGCAGTGCAGGATAGGAGGTGTGGGTGCCGCCTCTCTGGCCGGGCCGCATTAATACAGTGGTTAAGGAACTGGTTGAAACCGACCCAGATCAACAGAGGTCCACAGGGACAATGGAAGCCCCATGGCCTAAACACTCCCCAGCGGGAAGCTCGGGCTGGTGGGGTATGATCGCAGCATGGCCCTGCCTGGAGAACACAGGATGGGGATGTGATGGGCAGGGGATACAGGGCTGGCTTCGGGAGGAGGCCAGCTGTTGTCTCCTGGGACTGACAAGGAGTCCGAGAGAGACAGAGTCTGGGGTGGAGCCACTCCAGCTTGGCTGGTTGATTGCTCTGGCTCGGCCAGATGGATGATGCTTTAACTTTTACATCTCTGTGCTGAACTAGGGACGGCCCAGGCCATGTCCCAGCTGACTTGTAAACCCTTTGCTGTTTTGCAAACACTCTCTGAGTGCACTAGTCCCTGCAGAGTGTACACGTCTCTACCAGGGTCTGGCTCAGTGGGACTCGCAGGGCAGAGCTCCTGGCGTGACAAGAGGGCTGGAGCCCAGGGGCTCAGGAAGGTGGCCTGCTCTGGAGGAAGAGTGGGACCCCTTGTGAGTCTGGCACACTGAAGGCTTCCTCCACGGGACTGTTCCAAAGCTGGATCCGTGACAACAGATATCAGGCTAACCAGCCTGTAATTACCTCCTGGATCATCCTACTTGCCCCCTTGAATATTGGTGCAACATTAGCACTCATCCCATCTTCTGGAATCCCCCTGATCATCCGAGATTTATCAGAATTCATATCAGCCGGGCAGAGATCACCTCAGCCAACCCTTAAGACTCTTGGGGTGCAAGCCATCTGGGCCTGTTGATTTTAAAATGTTTATCCGTAGGCGATGCTGTCTAACCTTCTCTTACTAATGGACTGGAAAGTACTTCGTCATCCTCATATGATAAGAAAGAAGCAGGATGATGTGTTCTTAATACAGAACAGAAATAGTTATCAAACACTGCTATGTTTCCTGTATCATTGTTAACAATTTTACCATCTCCAGAAGCCATGGGCCTCGCCCACTGCTGGGGTTTCTCTTGTTCCTACTATACTTTTAAAACTCCTTCTTATTGCCCTTAGCCCTGCCAGCCATGGTGTTTGCCGGGTGTATTTTGCTTCCCTTATCTGTTTTCAGTGCTTTGTAGCTGATATTATATAGAAGGGACAAAATTTCCAGTACGTTCTTGGAATGTGCTGGGGACAACTTTTTGTCCAGCAAGTGGAGGAAGTAAGCGGAGGACAGCCCTTTGAGACTTAATTCTGACCAACGGGGAGGAATTGGTAGCCTATCTGATAGTGGAAGGCAATGTGGATAAAAGTGATCATGAAATGATAGAGTTCCTGATTCCAAGGGAAAGGAAGGAGTGAGGGCAGAAGAATAAGGATGATGGACGCCGATAAATTGGGGAGGGGTCAGAGAAGAGCTACGAGGGTGATTAAAGGGTTAGAAACCTGCCTTAGAGCGAGAAGCTCCGGGAGCTCCGTCTCTTTAGCTTAACAAGGAGCCGGTCCCGGGGCGACTTGGTCCCAAAGTGCCTGCGTGGGGAACAGAGATTTGACAACGGGCTACTCAGGCTAGCACAGGAAGGTCGAACATGATCCAACGGCCAGAAGCCGAAGCAGGAAATAAGGCCTAGTTTTTAGCAGTGGGAGTAACTAACCACTGGAACAACGTCCCCTGGGTGCTGGGGGAGTCTCCAACACCGGCAGTGTTCAAATCCAGACGGGCTGTTTGTCTCCGCGCTCTCCTTCAGGAGCTCCTGTGGGGCAGGGCTCTGCGCCGTGTGACACGGGGTCAGACCGGATGGGGCCCTTCTGGCCTTGGGATCTACTAAGCTAGGAACTGGAGGCTCCCACGGTGGGAAAAGTTGGCCCGTGGCTGCTGGGCGAGTCAGACCTGGGCTTAGAACCCAGGAGTTCCTGGCTCCCGGCCATAGGCACCCACATTGTGGGTGCTCCGGGGCTGGAGCACCCATGGGGAAAAATCAGTGGGTGCTCTGCACCCACGGGCAGCCAAGTTCCCCGCCCCGCCCCCCCACCTCCTCCCCTGCCTCCTCCCTTGAGCGCGCTGCGTCCCCGCTCCTCCACTCACCGCCGCCAAAGAGCTGTAGCCAGCTCCGGGAGGGAGCGGGGAGGAGCGGGAATGCGGAGCGCTCAAGGGAGGAGGCGGGGAGGAGGCGGGGCCGGGCGGGGATTTGGGGAAGGTGTCCAATAGGGGCAGGGAGGGGGTGGAGTTGGGGCGGGGACTTTGGGGAAGGGGGCGGGGCAGGGCTAGTCTGGCTGGGGTTTGGGGACGGCCCACCCCAGGGCTCTCTTGTGGCGTAATCCTGGCTGGTTCTGCAAGCTCCTTGGGGCAGGGGCTGGTCTGGATGTGTGGGGCCTTGTGGGCACATTCCCTGAGCTGCAACACCAGCATGGAGAGCACAGGTTGAGGCTGAAGCTGTCCCAAGCCCAGCAGGGACCCCACAGGGTCTGGGAATACCCTCCCAGCCCTGAGTTTTAGGGGGCT